TATCGACGGCTGCACGTGAGGTAGAAGGTTGGTCCGCCATAGCAGAAGACGGGTGAAGAGCGGATTCTAACAGAGCGACCCTTAACCGTGCGGCACGGTTCTTCTTCGTCTGATTAGAAAATTTAGCACAATGCTTACAAGTATCTGCTCTGTGTGACTCGCCTAGGCAGAACAAACAAAGTTCATGGCCATCTGGAGGGGCCAATTTACTTCCACACTTCTTACAGCGGTTGAAAAAGCCCCACTTCTGACTCTTCTTCTTTTTCTTTTCCATACGGTGGGAGAGACCAATGCCGGGGAAAAGTGAAGAGGGAAAGGGGGGGGGGGGTGGGGGAAGGCCCGAAGGCCTGAGGAGATTCCCCTCAGGAAAACAAAAGTTCTCGTTTTTCTTCTCTTTTTTTTTTTTTTTTTTAAAAAAATACTGAAGTAAAGAAAATAAAACGGAGGATGATCCTAAGAAACAAAAGAATAAGGTAAAGGCCCGAAGGCAGTAACAGCTATCCGGTCAGGAGGAAAGGCAAAAAGGTCCTTTCAACGCGGCGGTAGAAAGAGAACTGGCGGGATCTCCGCGCCCGTCCCTCTGGGCATGCGTGCCGGGGTTCTTGCGCATGCGCAGTGGGACCCGCGCGAAAATCCTTTGAAACATAGCTTGCTACAGCACCGGTTGGGTCAGCGCAGGCGCACTAAACCCATTGGTGTGAAGCACAGAGACCACGAAGAAGATCTAGACATTCTGATGCCTAATAATAAAAAACACAAATGAAGCCCCCTTCCAATTTTCTAAGGAGCATACTTTAAAAAAAAAACTTGCTGCCCTTTCCCAAGAACAGGCCAGAAGCCCTTCACAGCTTCCTCATACACCACCACTGAGCCACTAACACCTTAAAAGATTAACAGCCACAGCCGCTATAGTAGAACAGAGTGTGAGTGAAAGCACAACACTATACAGGTCCAGCTATTTGGATCATGTCTTTCATCTAAGGAGAACAGTATAGACCCAAGTCCATCCTGTAAATACTGAGCAGAGATCTGAACTCAGCTCCCTGGCTCAGCCTGGAGAATATACACTACAGGGACCAGCAAACAACTATTCATACACACACACAGAGGAAATATCAGAGTACTGCTAAATTCAATCCCACTTTTCACTTTGCACTGTAACTACGAAGCAACTTCCGAGGTTTAATAACAGCCCCTGCAGCAGCACCAAGATGATGTACCTGCAAGTTTTGTTACATGTGAACCAGCTTTCCTTCAAAGACTATAGAACTCATCTCACTGCAGGGCAGAGCCCTGCAAACTGCTCCAGAACTGCTTGGGACTCTTCACCATTACCCCCTTCCCCATCTTTAGTTCCTGCTGTAAATTTTTGTATTCCTGTACCCCAAAAGGTGAGGTATGTGCTATTACTTCTAGGAGCTTTATGCTAATGCTAGCATTATCTGACTGCAACTAGTTCAGAGTCCACAAAAACATGCAAGCACAAAGTCAGAAACTTTCCACTGAAGTGATGGGAGGTCAACTCACCCCGTCCATTACCTTTGTGCTCTCTCTCCTAGCATGTTCTTGTATCTTATTCCTTTTCCTGCCTCTTGCCAAAAGCAACCCAGATTCTTTAAAAGGTAAAATAGAATAATTTGTATGCTTTGTGTGTGCTGCTGGTATATCATTTTGGTTTTCCTAGTGCAAATTTGGCTATTTGGATTAAGAGAGCCATTGGTGAAGTATGATTGAGCTCTACATTTTAAACCAGAGGCATGCTTAAAAAAACACCTGCTGGCTAAACTCTAATGAAGTCGTAAGAACCAGGTTAGGAAGACAAAGGCCACTGCTTGACTGGGCTGGGTGGAGGATTGATTCTTGGTGATGAAATAGGAAGCTGGCAAATCAGAGAAACAGTTGAGCAGGGCAAAGTACAACACTAGATCAAGACTCAGTAAATCACTTCCGTCACCTTTTGAAAACAAGAAAACTCACTTTTATTAAAAATACTATATACACAGGCAAGAAAACATGTTCTCTTTGGATGCAAGCACAACAGCATTTAAAATTGTATACCTGAGAATCTGCATGTATGCAGACAAGCTCTGCCAAATATACAAGCAACAAAGGCCCTTGGCTTGCCTACAGTTAAAGAGCCCCTTCTCATACTGGAACCGGCCCTAAGGAGGCAAATGTTCTTAAAAGATGATGTACCAAATTTCTGAGAATGGAAGAAATGTCCTTAGGTAATAATAGGACTGGAAAACAGAGCCTTCTATAAGTTCTCACAACACAGGTGCTATTCGGGCAGCCTGAACAGAAAACACTTCAATATTCAGCCCCACACTGAAGCTGAAGCCATACCTCAAATTAATTTTTAAGCAGCTTAAAGTGATTTAAAATTTTAAAAAGATTTTGGGTTGGATTGTCTTGACTTTGGTCTCACACAGAAAGGATCTTTTGTAGGGCCTGGGAAAGTTCTTTTCTGTACTGGCTGCTTTGAAAATCAAAATGGATTTAACCTTCAAGCAGGGTCACAGGGCCCCACTTTCTAGAGATTCAGTACATGTTCAAGTGTTTTTGTTCCCTAAAGGCTGACAGGAGGCTTAAATACACTGCAGTAAGTCCAATGACCAAGTTCCCCCTTTTCAGCTCATGGTACTTTTATCAATAGCCGTGTAACAGCTTTTCTTTGAAGCTCAAATTAGGGATGTGCGGATATTCCCAAACTGAAATTAAACCCAGAATGTCCAGTTTCATTTCGGTTCAGGGACATCCAAAACAATCACAGACCTTCCTGAAATTGCAGAAGCATTATTTCCTGGAATTTCTGAAATGTTCTGGAAAGGGAGCATCCTCCAGCTGGGCCAGAGTGCATCAACCTTTTACAGAGCCATTTAAAGAGCCATTTTCAATGGGTGGTAGATCTGGCATCCAGAGTCCCACGGTTGCCAATGCACTGCAGAACAGGTGGGGCATGCTTCCTCTTTC